ACCGACCGCTTGCTTCATTTCTGCCTTTTATTTTCACTCTGTCCTATTGTTCCTCTTTTCTAACATTTTTCTCGTTTTGTAATAAAAACTGTATTGGGTATACGGCATTTGACTTCGCTTGTGACTTAATCTCGCCTCTTGGGATCATATCGAAACCTCCCCCAACATCGGATCGGGACATTACCTCTTATTCCTGTCCTTTTCTTTACATTGTGTGTTTTTTTGCAGCAGTACTTCCATTCATAAATGTACATTCATTGTCTAATATGGCATGCATCTGACTTTGGTTAGGAAGGTACACACAACTTAACATAACATGCAACATAAACTTACAAGATGGAACATTCAAAGCGAGTCCAACCTCCCCAGCCAAGATGACATTGAACAGGGATTTAAATATCCTTACTCGGCAATACTGTTACAGGAAATGTCAACTCTGCTCTTCCTTTACCCTAAAAATGAAAGCATCTAACTAAAAAAAGTAGAAGCACTCACTAACTGGTGGCTGATACACATTTATAACCACTTTTCAAGATCTGATCACAGCTCACTTATGCTCACAGTTTCATTTGATAAAGTTTGACCACACACTGCCAGCAGACCATCTCAAAAGCCATTTTATCATTCCTGCTCAGAATACTTAGAATCTTGTTTTTGCATTTCAAAATAAGAATATGGCAATTTTTCATTTTGTTTCCTACGGAGGGAGATCATGACTTTTTTTACTAGCTTAGACATGACTTAGATTGTTTGCTTTATTTCACTTCTAGGTCATAATGTCTGGTGCATACACAGCTCCTCATGTGGCTTTATGTCAAGCTTCAGAAAAATTAAGTGGTCCATAAAAGCAAGCTAGTACCTTAGCAGTCCCCTTTTTTACTTTCTGTTTTTCCACCTATATTTCCAACTTATGTATTGCCTTTTGTGTGTTACCCTGGCAACTAACTCTAAATTACTCCGTTTCAAGTCTACAAAACTCCAGCCATTTATCTATGTTTTTATGATGCATAGAATTCAAAGTGTGCAATTCCTTCAGTACAGTCATAAAGATTACTGAAAACTATTCTGACACAATTGTTCCAGCACTTAATAGGCTTTAATTTACTAAAACCTGCTAATGCAATCTCAGGCAATCATCTGACCATAGCCCTCTTCCTACAATGTAAGCTCTTTGCAGAATGGTCTTTGTCTGCAGAGCACCTGGTAGACAGCATTGCAGAGTGCTGGACCCTCAGGAGAGGTTGAGGCTCTTCAGTGAGACAACAATGCAAAGTAATTAAAGGTAATCATTATCTAGATAATTTAGAACAAATAAACATGAAGTCTGCTGTAGCCTGCTGAGTTTGGACCTCAAGCACTAAGGAACAGAAAAGCATATTTCTGTTTATTTATTTATCATACATAGACAATATATTTATATTACCACACATATGTATTTACCAGATGAAACCAAGGCTTAATGATTATAGAGGCAATGCTCAAAAGAGAGCAAAGCTTGGGAGAAGTACAGTAAGCAGCAAACACTGGCATCTCTGGCTAAGTAAAAAAGAAAAGAAAAAACAGCAGAGGAGAAGCCTTTACTCCATTCACTGCACATTCCTTCTGTAAAAATTAATAACCATCTGAAAGTCTACAAGTGCACTTCGTTAGGAACTAAAAGGTCTCTGTCCCTGTACAGCTAGTATTTACATCTTCAGTCCTCACTTTTAAAAGAGCAACACTGTTGCCTACTAAGATACCCCACCTTCTCTGGCTTGCCTGACTAGCGTTTTACCCAGAGAAAGGAATTTTTTTTCCCATGAGGCTGTAATTAATTCAATCACTGGTGTTCACTGCAGAAAAAAACACCTGAATGTCCCCTGGATAAAACAAAGACCTCTGTTCTCCCTAAGCTTCCTTTTCCATTTTATTTCTTTCACTTTTTCTCCCTTTCTTTTCTATCCTGAAAGAGTTTGCTACAATAATTCAGCTTTACATTATTTTCTGAATTCCATATACATTTCAGCATCTCTAGCTGGACTAAATTCAATATTACAACACTAATATTCAACAAAGTATGACAAAAGTTCACCTTAATTCATGCCTAAATAATGATTAAATCTTACTGTGCTCACTCCTACAAGCTTCCCAGTAGCCTCAGAGTTAAAATCTAGCATCCCAGGGCCCCTTGTTGACTACTTTGTAAGTACAGAATTTTACAGTATATGCACTTAAAAATCACTCAATCAAACAAGCAAACAATAACAAAATTAGAGTAGTCTTACAGTCCTATAGTAGCATTTTAAAGCTCAGAATAGGAAGAGAACTTACACAGCTTACATCATGTTTTTATTATTTATTTACTTACAGTGTTAGTTGAGTTTCCATTTAAATGTAAGCCACTGTCAAAGAGAGGTGATGAAGCTCCACTGCTGTGATCACTGGATGGTCCAGGGGAACCTGGAAATCAGATCATGAAAAATAACTACTTATGGTAAAGAAATATGTACTTATCAGGCCATACCTATTCCAGCTGTAAAACACAGGAAGAATTTGTAACATAAATCACCAAATTAAGCCAGAAGTACTCCTTGCATTTTAGAATGACAGCCAATAAAATGTCAATATGCTATACTTTATCTAGGAAGAAGAAAAGGTAGCTAGATGTCATTTTAGAGATGTTGAGCTCAGGAGAACTACTTGTAAGTTTAAATGTTTGCAGGACTAAGTCTTTCGTTATTGAGAATGAGATATTCAATCCAAAGAATTGGAGTATAACCACAAACTGTATTTATAAACACAGCTAATAAGCAGCTCTCAGGCAAGTGCTAACTGTACAGACACATGCACTGTATTAATGGATATATCTTTCTCTTAAGATGCCAAGTACTTCTAAGAATGATGCACCTTCTCAAACTTAGAAATTAAAAGCAAACAGTTATCATGAAATGTTGATACTACGTTAATAAGATTACACAGTTATATTCTTCAAGATACCGCTTCCTTTGCACTCATGCATTATGATCCTGCTTTAGTAATTAAGGCGACTCCAGGAAAGCTTAATTGTTTTGTAATGTACAACAATGGAAACAGGACAAACTCTCATTGTATAATTTTTGCTTAAATGTAAAATTTTAATATATGGCACTAATAACATATAGTTCTTGTCAGACAGCACTTGGTCTTATCAATAAAGCACATAAAACCATTTCACACCATTATATTCATCATCATTGAAAACTTATTTTTCCATCTGAAGAAGTCATCCCAAATTGCCTGTAAATCACTTCATACTAATAGGTTTGCCAAGTCTAACATCACAAAAGTCAAAAAGTCGCTCTTAGTCATATATTTTGTATGTATCTATTCCACGTATCTAGCAGATTCAGTAAATGGAACTTGATTCAACAAAATCTCATTTTCTCCGTAACAAATCTCCAACAGTTCAGCACTGAGGTCTCAGAATTATACCCGAATTCTGACATTTCAGCATGTTTTCATTTGGAGTCTTTTCCATATAGCATGAGGTGATGTCAGCAGAAGGAACCATTACACTTTGCTTGTATGTGTCTAAGCCAATAGCTGGCTTTAGAAGCTAGCTACAACATTTCATAGCTATTATATATGTACAAAAAATATATGTTCAGACTCATAGATGACCTATAGACTATAGATTGCTAGAAAAGAAGACAATTTCTGACTTTTTAAAAGAAAAGTAATGAAATAAAAGCATTGGCATTAAATTCTCCACTGAAGTGTCAGCCTGTTGGGGAATCCCACTGTCTCTGGCACGAGACAACTATGACAGGTTCATGAGTCAATCAGATTCTTAAGGTGGAATTATCCCACCTCTTCAGCAATTTGACCATATCATACAGCTATTTTCAAATCTCTAATGCAAAATATCATTTAGAATATCTTTTTTCTTTTCTTTAAGTAGAGAAAACTGACATCCATTGCACAAGAGAGCTAAGAACAGAAGGTTAAAGCACAAATCTCCCTCCTCCCACAGTGTTCCTGCAGATTTGCTTTTCAGTTCAGCAGCTTCCGTTGGTTATGAGACACAACAAACTATACAGCCACTCTCAGGCTATGCCACCTCCAGCACCTGATTGCAAGCAAGTTCACAAGTCTTTTAGTCTATTCCGTCTCACTCACTCATGGCCTACTTCAAGGCCTCCTTCAGCATTTTAGAAGCTCCCATTGTATAAGTTCAACTGCTTTTATAAAAGGTGCAGTGTGCTCTCATCTCTCCAAAAAGGTCTGTTTGCTTCCCCACAAGGCAGCCCTAAAGCAATTGGGTAGTCTTTCTTCCCTCTTACAGTATGTACACACACATGATATACATGATACAAAATATGCTAACACAAAGTAAATCTTGTACTATCTGCTATTTTTGCCCTTGCCCAAGTAGGTGAGACTTCAAATCAAGGGTTAGGTTCCATTCCAAAGTCTGGAACACTAGTTTGAGAAAGACTATTAAACTTGTTTATGTAAAATAAAACATGTGCTACAGGTAGTTCCCTGCTCCATGACCACAATACAGTATCCTGATGGGTGCTGATGCCAGAAAAAAAAGGGTATTTATCGTGTTGTGAGATTTCCAACAATCATCATTGCCTAGCTGCAATGAAGTCATAGACAGGCAGCCTACAAGAGAAATGTAAACCTACAGTATGACAGGCTTCTTCTGTTTAATTTGCTTATTCTCAGCTGTGGCATTTTTGTTCTTTTGTGAATGCTGGGTCAGGAAGGATCCTGTGGGAGAGATCTTTGCCTGATTTTTATCTAAAGAATACCTGAGCATGCTCAGAGAAAACAAAACAAAACAAAACTTACTCTGTAAGGTGAGAAGGGATGGGGGAGAAAGAGAGAGAGAGAGAGAGAGAGAGAGAGAGAGAGAGAGAGAGATAGCAGGGACGTATGAGCCTGCAGGTCACAAAAGAGACTGAGACACCTCTGGGGGTGGCAGGAAAAAGGCAGAACTCCAAGGTGAGGGGAAAAAAACTTGGCCAGTATCACAGGGGATTCTGCAGAGCCAGCAGTGACTCAGGGGATCAACAAGCCACCTGACACTAAACCTAAAGCAAAAACTTGTTTGTAGGGGTACAGGTAGGAGTTGTTTGCAAATCCTTTTATATTCTTTTAGACAGAATCACTGAGATTTTTCAGTTTAAAAAGTTAAGTATTCTACTACTTATTTTAATAAAGCCTGGATTTTATTTTTCAATTCTAAAAGCCTTAAGCTTTCTAGACTTAGAAAGGTCTCTCTTAAAGTTCTGGTCAGCTCAGAGTCCCATCAACAGGTGGTGTTTTTTTTCAATCAGTGAATTGCATTAAATCTCTAAATAACAAACAGCCCCCCCCAAATGCAGGACAGCAGAACAGAATACAGCAAGTAGTCAGCAAGATCTTATCCTTTAGAATAATTTTTCTTATGGTCAATATTGCTGAATATTACATGAATATTATATAAATATACTGGAAAATTGTTGCATACAAATAAAATATCATTTATCTAACTTACTAGTTATGTCATAGACAACCACCAATAGAAAAAAAAGCCCATTCCGGAACAACCACATAATTAAAATCAAATAAGACACTCCTGGTGATTTTTGACTACACTGCAAGCTTTGCAGCTAAAGAGTATTCTGATAATTTGGTATAACTATCAAAAAGAAAAAAAAATCCAAAGAGAGCCTGTTTTAGCGTAAAATCTCCTGAAGAGTCTTCCCAGCAGCAGTGGATCTTATTTAAAAGAGTCCTACAAGCCCTGCTTAATTCTAGGATAGGTAATGGATTTAGCTTCAGAGAATCCTTAATGAGACTACACAAGAGCTGCTGACATAGTTTTTCTGTAACAGGCTAAAAAATAATGCTCATAGGCAGTAATAACTTCCTGACCTAGCTCCAAAACCCAGAATTTCTTCCTTGAGTTTCTGGAAACACAATCTTTCTTCTCCCTAGCTGACAGTGACCTTAGAGCAAACCACAGACCATGGGATGATGAATCTTACTAGCCATGGAGCCAGACAACCCAATGAAGCAGCCAATTAACAGCTCTACTGGCCCATGCTGACTTCTGATCCAGGCCTGATACCTTTTTGAGAAAGAATTATTTGCCCTGTGCACACTTATGCCAAGCATTCCGCAATATTTTGTAAAATTGTTTATCAATTTTTTCTTGTGGCAGAGAATATTTGTTGGCATAATTGAATTTACTGTAATAGACAGTCTCATAATAGCCTAGTAAGGGCAAAGAGTCCCAGGCAGCTGTGAAAGGGACAATGACCAACACTAGCATACTACTCTGGGTTAGGACCTCCTCTCAACACAGAAACAAGGAGCCCTTGTCTAATCCCTACGTGCCAGTTAACCTAATCCATGAAAGAGTGAAGCAACAAAAAAAATGTGATGAGAGTCACAGGCAAGTATTTCTCTCTTGTGACATCTTGTGCTTCTACTAGCTGTGGCATGGGATAGTGTAAGGAAGTAAGAGGTGTGAGAAGGAAGCAGTGGAGGCAGATGCTACTCCTGATGATGGACTTACACATCACAGCACTAAAACTGCAAGCACAGCAGCTGGTTTAACAGAATGCTTGAAGGTAGAGTACCATGTGGCTGCATCTTCTGGGACACGAGGAAGGGCCAATGCATTTTGGATTTATGCATGCATGCACTTAAATATTGCCTGCAGAGCGAGCTAGGAAGTCCTTTTCTGCACAGTAGAATTGATACTTAGTTTGTGATATGTGTCACTGATGCTTCATGACTGGAATTCCCTTTTGTGCATGGGCTTGTGAAAAGCTCTTTTTCAAACGGGGTGCTTTGTCCCACCATTTCTATTCTCCTTAATTTCAGTGTATGGTCCTAAATCTACAATTTTTTCCCCCCCATCATTTTCTACACCTTATTTGCTCATTTACCCTCCACACAAATGAGTGTTTATGTCATCACTTATCAAAGATCATCTTACTCATTCATCTTGGTTTCAGCCTGTATTGGATGGCTGCACAGTATGTCCTGGAGAGGATCAGGTGAGCTCTGTGCCGAGGTCCAGGTCCATTTCAGAGAAGTGTAACTTCTTAAGTTCCTCAGCTGTCTGATCGCACTTAGCAAGTCCTTTTGTTGAGCATGTACTACATGATGGAAGGTCCAAGATAATGGGCGAGACCGGGCAGGGTACTATAATGCTTGCCAAAGATTTCCTCATGCTCTGCGTAAAGGGGGCAAGTCCAGTAAGCTGCTCCAAATGAGCAGCTTGTATCCAAGACATCTCCTTCATTTCTGAAGTATTGCTTCTCTGCTGTGCTTGTTGATACTCTGACAGCTTGTCTAAAAAGGCACTGTCTCCTCTACTCTGAACAGGGTTTTTTTGAATAACAGTAATGAGAGGCAGAATCTTAATGGTGCTAGCGGGCCACAGGCCATGAAAGAGGCCTTTGAAAATAAACGGAGGTTTTTGTAAGGTGCTGAGTACTGGGGGACAATAACTGTCTTAGTCCTGCTGGCCACACTATTTCTGATACAAGCCAGGATGCCATTTGCCTTCTTGGCTACCTGGCCACACTGACAGCTCATATGCAGATGTCAGTCAACAACCCCAGGTCCTTTTCCACCAGGCAGCTTTCCAGCCATTCTTCCTCAAAGCCCGTGGTGCTGCATGGGGTTGTTGTGACCTGAGTGCAGCACTCGGCACTTGGCCTTATTGAAACTCATAGAACTGGCCTCAGGCCACCAATCCAGCCTGTCCAGATCCCTCTGCAGAGCCTTCCTACCATCAAGCATATCGGTGCTCCTTCCCAGCTTAGTATCATCCTCACACTTACTGAGGATGCCCCCAATCCTCTTATCCAGATCATCGATAAAGACTTAAACAGAAGCAGCCCCAGTGCTGAGCCCTGGGGAACACCACTTGTGACTGGCTGCCAAGTGCACTTAACTCCACTCACCACCACTCTTTGGGCCCGGCCATCCAGCCAGTTCTTCACCCAGCAGAGTACACTTGTCCAGACCATGAGCAGCCAGTTTCTCTAGGAAGAGGCTGTGTGAAACAGTAGGAAAAGGGCTTTCCTAAAGTGCACATAGACAACATCCACAGCCTTTCCCCTGTCCACTAAGCAGGTCAGCCCATCACAGCAGGAGATCAGGATAGTCAATCAGGACCTGCATTTCAAAAAGCCATGCTGACTGGGCCTGAACCCTTGGTTGTCCTGGGTGTGTGTGATGATGTACTCAAGATGATCTGCTCTATAACCTTCCCTAGCACTGAAGACAGACTGACAGGTCTGTGGTCCCCTGGATCTCCCTTCCTGTAGTCACATTTGCTAACCTCCAGTCAACTGGGACCTCCCTGGTGAGCCAGAACTGCTGACAAATGATGCAGAGAGGCTTGGTGAACACTTCTGCCAGCTCCTGCAGTACCCTTGCATGGATCCCATCTGGCCCCACAGATTTGTGTGCAGCTAAGTGGAGCAGCAGGTCACACACCAATTCTGCTTGGATTATGGGGGCTTCATTCTGCTCCCTTGATATTTTTTTCTACTTGCAACATTGATTTCAAGTGAGCATATTAAATATTTATATTTGCTGACCTGAAGAACCAGAAGATTTCCCTCATCTGCATTGTTCATAAACAATTTACTATTGCTACTTTTAAACTACTCAGTTGTCACATCGTTATTCTGCTTTCTGAAAAAATATCAAAGTAATTTATGAAATAAGCACAATTAATGTTATACATTTGTTCGGTGAGTGTCCCGAAAATAACTCTTGGTGTGAATATATGATTCATCTGTTTGTAAACACTATTTTATTGTATACAGGCAAAACTTCTGTATAAAAGCTTGCAGATGTCACCCACGGTTGTATCGCATTTTAATGAGGTTCTCAGTTTTATACTGAATAAACTACACAGATGTAATCATGCAGTATGCATTAGCTTCTTATATGTTAAGCAATAGTGTACACACAATTTTCTATTGCTTCCTGTAAAACACCCAAGGATTAAATTCCTATTTCTGTCACTGCCATCTTATTATGAGAATACCACAAAGAGGAAAACAAATTACTCCTGTGCATTAATTTTGTCTTACCTAATGGGAGCTTTAAAAATGATGGAGCTTCCCTGAGGTACTGAACAGTGATGGTAACTTCATCGCCAGCATTTCTCAGTAGATGTACCTGTCAGTGTGACAAATAACAGCTGCTTTAAAACAAAGAACCACCAGTCACGGAAAGCACATTACTTAGAATGAAATCAACATCACTGTTGATCTATAAGAAATTTCTGACTGGGAATGAAGAATATCTTGAGGGTCAAGCCACACCAACACCATGTAACAGTAGGCAATACCAATGGAATTGCCTGAATAAATAATTCAGCCTGATTTTATATACCAGCTGAACACATCTTCTACAAAGAAATTCATTTTATGAAACTCGCATAGGGTAGTAGGGAATTGTGTTTATGTAGATATAATACATTAATTGTATGTGTATACACATAAACAGGCATATAAATATGCACATAAACAGAAAAATATATATTAATACATCAAACATATGTAGATTTTAAGTATTTTGTTTGATTCATTTAGGTGATACATTAAGCAGATTTCTCTGTTTCAAATATAGCCTCAATTTGTGTGATTGTCTTCATTATCTATATTTTCTAAACAGAAGGGAACACATAAACACATGTATGTGTATAGACGCATGTATTAAACCACTAGAATTTCATTAGAGGCATAGCACACTGCTGCATAAGGAGTTTTTTTAAATGCAGAACTTGAAATAACATCTCTGATGGAACTCGATTCCTAGTAGTTTCATACTCCACAGCTTCATATCTACAAGACTCAGGGATCAGGTATTTCATTTGGTTTGTATGTGGCCTGCACATGGGTCTGCAGCCCTAATCCTGCTTGTCAGAAGTGGAGGCTAACGCCTGTCATCTCTAATCTGAGCACAACCAGAGCGTGCATGCATCAATCAGAAAAGTACCTAACCACAGCAAACTAAATCCTGAAGAGGTGTTTACTGGTTGAATGTTGTACTTTGAGGAAACTGATGCCTGTGTTGCTTCAGAACACTGTTTTAGCACAATGCCACATTGGCCAACATATGAGATGTAGGATTACCTCAAACATTATAACTCTTCTTCTTGTGCACCTAGATAATGCTTCCAACAGTGATTGATGTATTCACCTAAATGAAGATATGAAGCTTATGCATGATGGATATGAAAACACAGGACAAGTGAAGAAATCAAGTAAGCAGTCACACAGGATAAGAATTTTAGGCCAAAAAATATTCTGGAAAGGCATGAGCAAGAGAATTTACAATAAAACCCTCAATACTGACAATGAAGAGAACATTGTCTGGACAGGAACATGTTCTGATTTGGTTGATCAAGTAAGTAGGCATATGAATCACCCATATAAAATAATACTGCTGAAAACTTAACTGTTAGTTGTGCTTGCAAAATCCATATATTTGATAAAGTCTTAGAGTGTCTGCCTCCATCCTCCCCACCCATCTTTCAGTCCATCAAACATTGACTTCCATTGCTAACAACCTGCAGCAACACGAGTGACCACAGATCAGTGGGAGGGAATGATAACGTTTTGCAATCGTTAAGTTAGGAAATTCAGCTCTGCAGGGGAGAAGCAAGAGCTCAATAAGGTCAGGGAAAAAGAAAACTGCCTGCAGCTTGTTCCCCAGAAAGAAACTTGCATTCCCTTTCAAAATTCTTCCTTCCTGATATATAGAATCTTCTCTCTCCCAAGGCCACATTTCTCTGCTCTTCTTCTATACTGAAGCATTTTTACTTTTCTTTTCACAGGTTCAATCTACATTTTCTTTATACTGAAACAGACTAATATATATACATATACACAAAACTTTTAGTTAAGATTCAGCTTTTTCATTATTCTTAAACACAGGTTATGCTTGCTTTGTACACAAGCTGAAACAGACTCTTACATTAGTCATATTGGGCCATACATGAAAACATAGTTCAGACATATGTAAAAAAAGTTTTATGTATTCATAAACTGATTTAGAGATGAATAATGCCTAAGATAAAAAATTGGAAAAAAAACATGTTAGTATATTCTTGTATATGTATAAATTAGACTGCAGTCACTTTTCAGTCTCCAGTTAATGAATTTTTCTTCTCAAAATTAATCAATATCCACATTAGGCCTTGAAATGAATTCATGTTCTCCCAGCCCAGCCACACAACCTAATGAATTTGCACGATATTAATCTACGTTGCAATGGAGCTTTCACAACTACATCAAGCGCTTTTACATGTGACCAAAATGTTTGTAAAAGAGAACAAATAATTTTTTTCCCACACTGTAGTTACAGAACCATTGAATTTTGGAGTCATTGACCAACAAAGCTTCCAATTGGAAATACTTTCTGTATGTATAAAGTTAACAAGTAATGAATTACTTTATTCACTTTAAAAAAAAGTAATTAATTATGAAATTACATGTAGAAACTTGAAACAGCAGATGTGCTTCCCTTTGTAATCTTGCATGTAATCAGGTAGTGAACATTAATCTAATTTAAAAAAATAATAAGTTGTTTAAACTCTTGACCGCTACATGAAAGTTGATTTGGGCCCAGAACTAGAAAAACATTTGGCCTGATCCTTGAAAAAAAGTCAAAGCTCTGGCCAACTATTTATGGCTTCCAAAAATTAATCAAGTAAATATCTTGCAGGCAGCTGCAACTGACATCTGCAGCATATAGGGGGGTATAACAAATACCCTGACTTGAAATTAGGGGGGTAATGTGCATTACTTGCATGTGTACAGGGTGTGGGTGCCCAGATGCTGGCATTGGGGGCTGCATGGTGACCTCTGTGAGAAGATGCCAGGGCTGCCCTATGCTGGACACAGCTGGTTCCAGACAGCTCCAACCAACCCCCTTCAGGGCACAGCTCGGGGTGGCTAAAAGAGAAGAAGTGAAGATGAGGTTGGAAAAAGGGGTGCTGGAAAACTGTTGGTTCAATTTTTGTCTCTCTGCTTCTCACTACTCTAAAACTATTTTAACTGGCAATAAAATCAATTAATTTTCCTCAAGTCAAGTCTGTGATACAAGAAGATAAAGGAAGAAGTGCAGCAAAGCTATCCACATAGTCTAGGTTCACTGCAACAAAGCCATAAAGATGATGTGGTAAGAAGGAAAAAGGACACCCAACATGCTCTCCAAAGAAAAGATGTCAGAAATTCAGTATCAGGGCAGTAGGAAGTCAGAGTTGGCAAGAAATACAAGATCCTGTCACCAAATGCTGCTGTATCTTGTGATAACATTTTGCTTGTCAGTGTGGTAAATATATTAGAAACACTGACTTTAGCTTATAATCAGCGTAGCAAAATCAGTATTTTGTAAAATCCAATAGCTAATGTCCAAACCAATGAATTTACAATGTAGTCACAACACTGTACTGAAACACAAAACAAGTAAAACTCATACATAATAATATTAATTTTCTTATTCACAACTGACTTTTTGGAAAAGCCACAAATGTAAATCATTTCAATTCTCTGACTTCGGAACAACAAGGAAGAATTTTAAGTTCCTAACAGATACAAACAGTTTGAAGGAAACTTTCAAACAGAATAAAGGCTGTTTCCTTTTAATTAAACAAAGAACGGTTGCGCACAAACATTTATAGTTGTCAAAGGATGAGACAGCATAACAGACATACTGTCAAATGTACTTTTGGAAGATCTCAGTCAAATATCATGAAGATAAATTAAATCCAAAAACTGGATGGAACGAAACAAGACAGTAGATTAGAAACTGCTGCAGAGAAATTTGGATTTTATTTCAAATGATACTTTGAAAAGGAACGAACTCCAATATTAATACTTTAGTTTAAAATTATCGAGCAGCAATACCGTAAAAGATACTCATGTTGCATCATTCTCTCCTGGAGCTATTTTGTATTATAAGATAGTGTCTGAAGATGTAGTATTGAACCACACACATACAAGAAAAAAAAAATCAATTTCAGTGCTCACATGATGGTATTAACAGTATGGAAGGTCACTAAATAATACACTGCTCAGTGGTACTGAAGCTTTTGCACAAGTCCAGTAAGTCCAAGAAGACAAATCTAGTAGCTTTGGAATAACATTCACTGTTGCCTTACTGTAGTATTAATATAAAGGAGGAATCATAAAAGTCAGCAGTTGTTACATTCACTGCAACTAGCTGTGTGTATGCATGCTCTTGTGTGCTCATACATATGAAGGCGAAAAGGGCATCAAGAAAAATGCTTGCTTTTCATGCTGGCTCTAACTTGTGGATTTGGCATACCTCTAAGTGCATTCATCAAACCAAGGTTTATTATGCTTCTTTTTCACATGCATTTCTCAGGAACACAACAGAGAGAATGTTAAAAATATAAACAAGGAGCTTTTAGATCTCACTTGCTAACTACACTCCAGAGTCTGCATAGAAAACTGTAACTCATACCTATAGGTAGGCAAATCAATGGCACAATTCATGGCTAATGTGCATTATTTTAAAATTCTGGTGCTTGTGTTTACTGTGGCTCATTCTAAACCTTCAGACATACTTGATCATTAATATTCATACTGTTCACAGATTTAGACAGGGTTTTGGCTGTTTGAATCAGGTCTTGTCTTATTACAGATCAGAACTGTAACAGCAATTAAAATTGAAAAGGAGCATGTCTTAGATGAATGAATTCACTTATATGACCCTTTCATTAAGATCTATTCTGAGAGCAGAAGTCCCATAATTTAACTTTGGCCATTTAAAGATCCAACTCTATAGTAGCTGTTAATATTTTTTCTGGAAATCAGTAAAGATCTTAGGATAAAAAGGAATTACCACCCACAGCTGTCTATCCTTAAATAAGGAGAGTCTGGATGACAACCTTACATTTTAAACACCTGAAGCTAGATGAAATTAATCCTGTCTCACATCTATAGATGAAAATTTGAGATTAAACACCTAACTCAGACTAAAAGTCTGAAGAAAAAAATTCTGAAGTAAAAGGAGGTGAATGTCCTGATGAATGTCTGATCTTGAAGTACGTGCATTTCACAAATAAAATACTTCAAATTCACACAAAGTGCAAGTTTTTGGCTTGACAAGTACCTAGGTGGAAGATTATGTAGAAGCCTGTAATGCAGCAGGCAAAGAATCAAGAAA